TTTTGAATAGTATTAGGAGCGTTTATTCCGAGCCTTCACATGCTGAACGCGGCTAGAATTCAGTTGAGCGTCTTTGTATTTAAAAAAAAAACTTTCAACACACCATTCCCTCTGTTCAATAAGGCGGGGTTGATAGCAGGAGAGAGATGTTTAATATACAAGAGCTCTTCTATAGCGAGTTGTTTCCGGTAATGTGAATTATATAGAATTTCTGGGGTTTTTTACCAGAATTTTTCTTAAGGGTTCTTGCAAATTGTGGGTAGCTAGATGATATTTTTATAGCACTTGATCAAACAAGTTACACGTGAGGCCTTCTACTGAAGGAGCTGGTAGTATGTCCGATATAGGTAACAGATTTTTGACAAGAAACTGTTTTGTACTGGGCAGTGAAATTGAAACACTATATTGGCCATTGCTAGTTTAGATTTGATGGGGTTATTTTTATTAGTGATGTTTGATAAGTGACAACAAGGTTTGCGGTTAATCATTTTCTGTAATATAAGGTTATTACTGGAATTATGAAAGAAATATGGTGTTTAATGTGTCTTTGTATGTGTATAACTCCCTCCAAAAGTATTGGAACGCCAAGACCAATTCCTTTGTTTTTGCTGTTCACTGAAGGCTTGTCCGTTTAAGATCAAAAGATGAATAGGAGTCAAAAGTTCAAAATTTCAGCTTTTATTCGCTGATATTTACATTTTGATGTGTGTTATATACTCTACCTATGAACACTAATGGGTGTGTCCCAATCCTCATAAATACGTTGGACACTATTGTAAGTGGGGGTAATATGCTGCCTAAGCAGTCCACCATTAGCAGTGGTTTACCTACTTCACGCTGCTGGCAAGTATTCTATTTTGTAGAAGTTATAAAGATTACCATTTCATTTCCAACCTTCGTTTAGGTTATTCCTTATTCAGTAACCTTTTCTAAGGAAATTAGGACATACCACCATTTTTTTTTTACCCCAGATACTTTTCAAGTAAGCAAAACTACTGGAACATGTGACTGACAGGTGTTTCTTGTTGCCCAGATGTTGCCTTTTAGATTGGTTGTTTAAACATTAAATAGTTCTGAATGACAGCTTTAGCTTTGGGTTTCACCTGTAGTGTGCATTTCTTGTTAAAAAGAATAAACCAATATGAAGACGAGAAAGTTGTCTATGAGAGAAAAACAAGCTGTTCCAATACTTTTGGAATGAACTGTATATACATGGTAAAAATTCACATATAAATAAAATATATCTGTAAAGACAATTTGTGTGTGAGCCTTTTAATGAATGTTTGCGTGCGTACGTGTTAAAGGAACAAAAGAATTTACTCACTAAAAATGATCTTATTACAGACGTAGTTTACGAGGCATCTGCGAAAGCTGGAGATTAACACGAGAAATCTTATATTGGCACTATTGAAGGCGGAGGTGGCAACACAAAATGCTGGCCAGAGACCATCAAAGTGTGGACGGGCATAACAATGTCGGAACTTCTGAGATCCACCGCCAACAGATCATCTTGGGGGAGGTTGTCTAATGCTTCAGCCCTTTGGCCACCCCGAAGATTGTTGCGGTTAAGAGATTGATGAAGATGATGATGATGATATATTTGTACTTTAATTTCTGAAAACCTTTAGTCAATAGAGAGAGTTAGATAACGTTAGAAATGTACTAATTCTTTGTTAAGAATAAACAATTTCCTAACTTTTAACGATTTTTACATTCCATCAGAATGGCTGATGTTCACCTCCAGGAGAGCAATTTTTTGCGCCTTCCCGGACTCATGTTTTTCACTGACATGAAGTGGAATGATTTTATTGAATCAATTGATTGATCTATAGCTAAGAAGTTTGATTCACTGTGTCGCGCAAGACAATTTTTCTCGCTCGAATCAATCTTGCACGTTTATAAATCTGCCATTTGTCCGTGAATTAAATTTTGCTGTTACATCTGACCTAGTGCTCACCTAAACCTCACCATAGCTGCATTCGAACTTACATGTCGACCACGTAACATATTCAGTTGCAACACAAAACTAATACGTGTGAAGGTGGATTCGTTTAATTGTCAGAGATGTCGAGTGCATTCACGCAATTCAGGCCTTAGCAAAAAGAAATGGGATAATAAAAGAATAGCAGCATGCAGAGTTATAACATGCATTCTCTGCTGAACACTCTTGGTGTGTTTCTCCCTTTACCATAAGGGCTGCTGCAGGTAACGCTACATGTGCTTCATGCTCGCCTCAACTGGCTATTAAAAACTACATGGCACAATTTTTTTGTGCCATTTACAAGTACTCGCCCTGGCACCTTCCCATACTTCTGTTAACTGGTGTTGACCATGTTTGCGGTAGTCTTTGAATATGGAATCCAGTGAAGTCCGTAATCTGTTCAATATCAGAGGTCGGCAGTGAAGATTCAGAGAAAGTAGCGGTCGTTAAGTAATTCTTTAAGTCTTCGATATCAGGTTGGCAGTGCAGACAATTTGGAAGAAAAAAAAATGGCTGCCTTTATACACGTCGTATTGAATATTTTAAGCTTTCTGATTGGTTAACCCTTCTATTGGTGATTTATAAAATGAGTCAGCTCATTTAGGCTAGTTCACTAGTACATACCCAAAAGACTGCAACAATTGGTTCTGTTTGCGGTAGTGGCAGCGACGTATTTTGGGCAAAAGACGCGTCTACCTTTCACGCTATTGCGTTTTACTACGTTGCAACTGACAGAGGGCTTCATGTAATGTCTTGCAGTCAGGGATAATAAAACCATCCCATCGGAATACAAAGCCATCTGCCACAACTCACCAAAAACTTCCTAAGGCCCGTGTTCGTATTGAACTTGACAACTTTTAATTGGAGTTGTCTTAGTAATGGCAAACGACTGATGCTACCATGGCTGTCCATTGCTTCCTTTTAATCCTTACAATTTTTTCTTCCGTTGTGCTGATGTATACCGACAACTTGTGTACATTACGTCTTTTTGCGTGGGCGGCCATCAATTCTACTAGACTTCAGCATTACATGCATGTACAAAATGAATATGGCTGTTATGACCTTCCATTCAGAGGAAGTTTACATCCCGGGCAACGCCGGGATTTAATGATAGATAGATAGATAGATAGATAGATAGATAGATAGATAGATAATGAACAGAATGTAATAGATAGATAGATAGATAGATAGATAGATAGATAGATAGATAGATAGATAGATAGATAGAATCTCACCACGGTTGATTTGTCAGGAAGCAAACTTCCTGATGTTATCGGTCTGGAGGGGGCGACCCAGTGTGTGGCACATTTGGAAAGTGCCTGAAAACCACGAGTTGACCCAAGTCTTGTAAAGGAAATTTGGATAAAGGGAACCCTTGGGGTCCGTCGATAACTGTCCTAGTACGAAGTCACAAGTCATCGTGACCAGGGGTTTGAGTGTGCTGGCCCTATTCAGATTTCTCCCAGAAACTGTAACTAAGGTCTGCTTAGGATAGTTGCAGTATAAACCACAGGTTCGCTCTGTAGGTGTTGAACAAACACAAATGTGTCTGAGCAAGCAATAGGAATTGACTAACAAAAACTGCAGGAGTAGCCGAAAATTTCATAATTTGAAAAAAAAGTGTATTCCCATATGTCAACTAAATGAAAAAAAAATGCATAAACATATACAGGGTGCGATGAATAAATTGTCGTCTAAATTACGTAAAAAAAAAAAAAAAAAAAATCACACTGACATCTCATTTTAACATATATATTTACCAAAATTACATAAAACTATCTAGAATAGAATTGCTTCATGCATGGCCTCAAAAACGACTTCGAAATCTCCTGCAACTCTTCTGGACGGCCCCCTTGTTTAAGTTGATGAATGCTGCCATAACCCTTGCCTTCAGTTCATCTTTAGTGTTATAAGGAGTTTTGTTGGTCTCTCGCTCAAATGTGACCCATACATATTAATCAAGGGGGTTGTAGTCTAAGGAGTTAGCCAAATGTAAGGGGTGATGTGGTCACAGAAGTTGTCTGAGAGGAATAATTTTGGCCGAACCTGCGTGCTCGAAGAACCCACGGTAAACTCGGCCTTGTGCCACATACATCCCGCGTGGGTGGGACTGTTAGATATCGGCAGTGGGACGCAGTGTAACCTGACCGTTCGGACTGACACTTCTATCTGCTGACTAATAACACTCTTATTTTGTATATATGTTCTATTATTTCAATACACTTATTCAACGTACCTTCTTTTTTTCCATGTGTTTCTTTCTGGCCCCTAACAGACCACAACAAAAACAAACAACACGCATGTGCGAAATTAAATATATAAAATGGCGACAATTTGCGCATTGCTCCCTGAAAAAATAACATTTTTGTCATCACTTTTGTATAAGGATCATACATTAATATTTACTATTAATATGCACTTTGAGATATTTGAATTGAATTGGTTTTGATTTTTACGCTTTATCAATCTTTTGCAGGTTATTTAAAGCCAGAAATTATTTTTAGATTGTAAGACTGTTTTTGAGATAATAACGATTTTCTGATACGAGTTGGAATAATTAACCCTGAAGAGATGTAGTCATAATTTTCCAAGGGATATTTATGAATTTAAACGTGCTACTAGGTTGGCATCTCAGTCCCAAACTTTCACTGTCGAAACAGTTAAATGTAACCGCCTCTTCTACTCCAACAGCTTCTTTTCTCGCACTTCCCGCCAATGGAATTTTCTTCCTCTTGTTTGCTTCCCTGATAACTATAATCTTCAAATATTCAAATGTAATGTCAATCGACATCTTCTGATGCCTTGATCCTGATCCCCGTTCTTCTCTGTATCCTTTCCTCAAACACGACTCTTTACTCTTGCTCTTACTCTCTGCAACCCCTTGCGTGCTAGTAGCACTCCCGCCTTGCTTGAGGTGAAATGCTTAAAAATATTATTTGTTCTTAAGTGAAACTAACGAATAACGAACCCGATTCTCCGACTTCCAATTCCTTCTAGATTGCACTCCTGTACACCAAAGCTTACGGCACTTGGTATTCCCAAGCTGTCACCAATCTAGGTACTGACCAGGCTCGACTTTGCTTAACTTCGGTGATCGTACAGGAAACAGCGTGATATGGCCAATGTGATATGGTCCTGGAGGCACGGTGGAGTAATGGATAGCGGCTCAGATTAAGGAATCGGAGAACCGAGTTCGGATTCCAGTTGAATCCATTACATTCACTTACGTGCTAATACTCTTGGAAAAGGTATGAATCCCCTTCTTCTAGCTATGAGTAAATAGCAGGACAGACCGGATTCTGTACCCTTGGATGGCAACTGGTCTACCACAGAAAGAAATGGCAACCTCCTGCGGGAAAAAATCTGCCTTGTCAGTCATGTATCGAAAGATACATGATCGCCTAAGCGTGTATCACGCATGGCACATAACTTACTGATGGTTGTAAGCTGCATTCAGAGACAGATTTATATATATATATATATATATATATATATATATATGATATAGATATCTAGATAGATCTTAATTCAATCATTATTTGCGTCAGCTGTTTTGTTTCGTTTTTTACATTTATCTGACTTTGAATTCCCAGTCTAGTCTGATTTCGGGATGAAATATTTTATCTGAAATTAAATGCACTTGCAATAAAACATAATATCTGCCTGACACTTGATGCATGTTAAAAATCGGATATCACGGGACACATGATCTCTTCAGTGTCAAATATTCCGAAATATCAGTTGAAATAAGATTAACTTTAGTATAACTAACATTTTTTTTTGTCTCCTTGAGAATATCGTTCAGGTAACCGACATTAAAAAGAAAAGGTTAAAAATTCCTGAAAGGATGTTTACTGTCTGGCTTATCATTTACCTACAAAAAAAAGACACAAAGCAGATAGTTATTTTTTCTTTGTAGATATATGACAAGCAAAATGGAGTTTGGGGGGGTAGTAAAATCCAAAAATACCCTAGAGATAAAGTTTTTTGTTTTTTTTATTTGTTTACTGCGGCTTAGCGTGCAGATTATGTAGCAATTTTCCGTACCTAGCTTAGATGTGGCACAAGGCCGAAAGTATGTGGCACCCAGTGAGGATCGAACTCACTACTCAGTCGTAACTGTTCTAGCGAGACAAGCTTGCTAATCATTACACTGCCTCGAGGTGCCCCCTTTGTAGATTATATAGTGATTTTCCAAGCGTAGCTTAGATGTGGCACAAGGCCGAAAGTATGGGGGCACCCGGTGGGGATCGAACTCACTACTCAGTCGTAATTGTTCTAGCCTCGAGGTGCCCCCTTTGCAGATTATGTAGAGGTAGAAAATATTTTTAGATTGTAAGAATATTTTTTTTAAATAATAATTATTTTTAGTGATACAAGTTTTACTAATTAATCCACAGCTGAAGGGGGGAGAAGTGAATTCAAATCTTTTCCAAGGGTATTCACGCATAATATAACGAATATAAGTGAATATAACGAACCCAACAGGAATTGGAACTTGGCTCGCCGATCGACAATTTTGAACCGTTATCATTACACCATCCGTACATCCAAACTTACAGCACCTGGTATTCCCAAGCGGTTACCCATCTAAGTACCGACCAGGCTCTACGTTTCTTAACTTCGGTGATCGTGCGGGATTAATCATAAGTAATTTCTCTTTTGGAGAACCAACTGTAATATACATTATTTACATTATTCGTACTATTGTCCTCATCTTTGTCGCCATATTTATCACAACGTTTCGGCCGTTGTACGCTCCGGTCTTCTTCAGGTGGTTAGAATTTCGAACTGAACCCTTTATTTCGCTCACTGGGGTAGACTGTTCTAGTTCCACGTGCCATGTTTGATGGATGTCAGTTATCAGTTATCTCCTGCTAATTTCCCTCTGAAAGTTCTCCACTGCCTTAACCGGGTATTGAACTCACACTCTTTGGGTCCTGTCACTGGATCTAACCAAGGACACATGGCACAGTGGTTAAAGGCGTTGGTTAGATCCAGTGACAGGACCCAATACATTTTACAATACATTTTTATATAAAAATGACAGACAATACTTAACCAGCAATGCATTTTATCTTTAGTTGAAGGCATACAATTGCGTTCAAAATATATTTAGTTGATGCCATAAAATTGTGTTCAAATTATTTCAATTTCGGCGTTGATTTACCGATAAACAAAATCAACAAGCCAACCAAACAACCAACAGGAATCATATTCATCCATATTATATCCTACAATTTCTTAAATCAAACTGTATTCCAAAATATAACTTTTTTTTTAAGCGTTTCACCCCAAGCAAGGCGGGAAGCCACTAGCATGCAAGGGGTTACACAGAGTTGAAGCTAGAACAAAGAGGAGTGATAGAAGAAAGGTTGAAGAGAAGAATAGGGGAGAGATCAGGGCATATGGAGATGTCGATTGACATTACATTTGAATAGTTGGATATTATAGCTATCAGGGAAACAGGAAGAGAGAAGGGAGTTCCACAGGCGAGAAGTGCGAGACATGAAGCTATTGGAGTAGAAGAAACGGCTACATTTAACAGTTTTGACAGTGAAAGGGTGAGAGCGAGATGCCAGCCTAGTAGAACACTTAAATTCATGAAGTCTGGGAACCAGCGAAAGCAGATCCTCGGAGCAGTTATCATGAATGTATTTGTAAAAAAAACAGACAGAAGGAGGCGACGGCAAGTCTGTGAGAGAGCGACTGCAGACGAGATGCCAGATCAGGGCCAGTTACATTGCATATACGTCTTTGGATCTTATCAAGAACCTTGAGGCAGACATAAGGAGCTCCAGACCATATATGGCAGCAATACTCCATGCAAGGGCGAATGGTTGATTTGTAGATTTGAAAGATCGACTCCAGCGAGAAAAATTTCCTGGCGCGAAGTTAAACTTAAAAAACAAACAACATAAACACACATATCACCGCTTCTCGTAATTATGTCCACATAAATTCATATATGCACAAAATCTGAGTATCATCTACCGTGTATTCAATTGTGAAAGAAGAATAAAATATATCTTTATTACTTACTAAAGCTCCTAAGAAAATTAAATTTCGGCAGAGTTGATATGCCGTTAAACAAATCAAGTAACTAAATTTTTTCATTACCCAGAAAGCGCTTCGCGGTATTAAAGATGGCGTTCTTTTAAGCGCTCAACCTGTTGTCCTGAAATTTTCGACCCTTAGCAGTATCGATTTTTTATCTAGAACAGCATCATTCCGCCGTAACATCAAATGATCACGAAAAGCTCTCTCTGTTGCAATTACAGATTCACCGGTCTTAAAACAAAAACAAAAAACGTTTCAAAAATAAATCCACGGTGTGCACTGATGCAAGCTATAATGGTAAATAAAAAAATTAAAAATAGTAAGACATTAGCTACATGAAGATACCATTGAAACTCGCCTAAGTTCACTAGCACCACACAGGTGATAGTTTAAAATGTGTGAGCTATTTTTGCCGCACTCTGTATTTCTGCCGCACTTCACTTTCAAACTCTCAGTCTCCCACGACTAATATACGATATTTGCGGGACGAGCAAATTTGTGAATTTTGGGAAATAAAACTTTTTTGCTTATATAAATCATGTCTTATCTCAATTTGTCTTTTCCACATTTTTTTCTTGTTAACACTAAAGCCGACATTACAGATGCATTTCAATCAAGTCAAGTGCCAATTATCTAACTATTGATTTAATTCCATCGGAAAAATTGCACTAACATTTTTATCAAAGAATAACATATGCAACATAGATGCAATAATGATAAAGAAAATGATGATAAAATAAAAATAAAAAGTTACATACAAGGAGGCAAGTTTATATAGATTCTCAGTCTTTATATTTGCTGTGATTTACGTATCTCAAAAATCCAATATACATTCGTTATTGTTCTTGCATGTCACGCACACGTTGATATATAATCTGTTTTAAATTTTACGTGAAAGTGAGGTTGAAAATACCTATTACAAAAAAAAAACTAAGCTGCCTTTTCGAAACAACTGACTGAATGAAGTATCTGTGACGCCAATCTTATGGAACAAGTCGATGGTAAAGTTTCTTTTTTTAATAAAAAAGGACGTGGTGTAAGAATTTGCTCTTTAAAAAATAAACAGTCAGTTGCTGGTACCTCCTGAAGGGTGGGTGGAGGGATTGCTGGAGGTTCCGTCTACCAAACTATTCGAGATGCTGAAAATAACATCAATCAGGTAAGTGACAAATTTAATATTTGTATTAATCCTATATATAAAGTTTAATGGTCAGAGTTGAATCAGACCAGGAAACAGTGGTATTATAAAGTGCTCAATACATGTGAGAAAAAAAATATGTCAGAATAAAAATAATATGTTGAGTTTTTAACTTTAAAAATCAGGAGGTCAGTTAAAATGAAATATTAAAAGAAATCAAATTAGAAGAAGGTATTTGCTTTCCTTTAAAACCCATCTCTCTCTCTCTCTCTCTCTCTCTCTCTCTCTTTCTTTCTCAAACAATAAGAAACAACTCTCATATAAAAAGAGGAACAAGAAGAAAAGACTGAACAACTGCTGCAAAACGCGTTCAGGGTCTAGTTATTGTGACCAGAAATCTACCAAAATAAGTGAGGCTCCACATAATAACTTCCTCATTAAAAAAAAAAAAGAACGGAACACCGGAAAATAAACAAAATAATTTTCTATACTTAAAAGAACAAAGAGACTTTTTATGTTTTATGTTACCCGAAACCAAACTTTGCGACAATTAGTTGGAGCCTTTCAAAATTGTATATAAAGAGATAACCGACAGACAGTAGACAGGAGACAGCCAGAAATCGGGCCAAGCGTGTCGCGTTAAGAACTAATCGGTCATCTGATTAATACATTTTTCCATCCATTTTAGGACCGAGAAGCAAATAGGCCTCGCACCGTTTCCAAAATAACCACACCCCGACAGCTGCCAACAAGATGACGATGAAGTCATACACGTAAAATACGAATCAGCCGAACGAACCTTCGCCAACTATATTTTAAAAGGACTCACCCCAATTGAAGTCAAAGGAACATATATTATTTGTTTATATCTTTGATTATTTTCCTTTATTTCGAGGTGTTCCGAAGTTTCCAATAAATATCACCAAGATACACTAGCACTTTTTCCACATGTATATATAATATATTTTATAATATACTATAATATAAATTGAATAAAAAATATTTTGGTATATTTTTATTAAGTTAACATGGCACAATAACATATTTGAAAAAAACACACAAACAAAATTTTCGGTTGTTCCTGCAACTTTCGTCAGCTTTGATGCTGAAGTTTTTTTTTTTTTTTTTTTTTTTTTGTTTTTTTTACATCGGAAATGAACTGGGATATATCATAAATGCAAATTGTTGTAATCGGTTATTGGTTAAAAAATATTAAAAATTAAAAAGTAAAAACATATAATTCAAAATAATAAATAAATAAATGTGAAAGAAAATGGAGAATTGAGTATTAGAATCTAATTACTTTCTAATTTACGACGGCTGTATTGTGAATTCAAAGAAGAGGTAAGAAGGAGGCATCTAACATTGTCGATACAATGTTTAGGTAAATTAAAATGTTCTGTTATAGTTACGTAAATGAAACATGTCTCGAATTGTCTTTTTGCATTTATTAAACCGTAGAATGAGTTAAGAGCCAGACTCTCGTCGTAGTTAGATAAGTCACAAATATTACAGAAAATAAGGTAAACAATGAATAATAAAAACAAAAGGAAAACTGATCTAAGCCAACGCGTTTCATCATCTGTGGGATTTTACCAAGGTAAATGCAATGATTTTATTTTGTAACAAGGACTTATATGCAAAATATAAAATCCTTCAGTTAAGAAAAGCTCATAAAAGATAAACTATGTAAAAGATTTCGTAAGTTTAGTGCGGGAGTGTATTTTAACTTTGTATCTGTAGAAATGCAAGTTGTATCGGTAATATGTTTTACAAATTTGCCATCTTGGATTATCGCCTTTATAAATAACTTAGGGATCATTCGGTTGTTTTAGTTTTGGAAGATATGAGATGGAACAGCAAAGTAATTGTCGTTTCGCATTAAGTGAAGGTTCGCTGAATATGTTATTAATTAACGGTCAAGTTTAAAATTTTCAAAATGTATCTCTTGATGAAAAGGCAATATTTATATTCTAATTAAACTCAACTAGGGTGGGGATTAAGATTTCTCGAATATTCAGGCCGGTAGACGAAAATAAATAAATCTAAAGTTTAATAAAGAAATGATGCGTTTATTCAAATATGAGTATCCATTAAAAATAACGCTTTAAGGTGATAATATATATGTGTGTGTGTGTGTGTGTGTGTGTGTGTGTGTGTCTGTGTGTGTGTGTGTGTGATTTTATCTCCTGTAATATCTTTTATATATCTTAGGTAATGAAACCAGAGATGTAGTCTTTCATCATGAATTACAAGGTAAATAATGAGCCTAAATCCATTTTATTGTATTGTCATTGGCCACATTTAATGTGGGCGAGGCAATCACTGACCAGCTAGGTTCATCTTTCTGCAACAACTGGTTTGATCTTTATTCCTTGCAGTTTATTAATTTTGAAACAATCCATCTTTTATTGAGACATATTGAGCTTGAAAGTGTTCTGTA